ATACAATATTGTTTTAAAATTCTTGCTGAACGAAATGCATAAGCTCCTGTATTTGCATGAGTTGAAATCATGATTTTTTCTCGTACATCTGTTACTGAATGATATCCTTCATCCGTAAGATTTTCATCTAATTTTAAATATGAAAAAACTGGTTTTCCTCCATTATCTTCGAAGAAAAATGAAGCATTGATTTCGCTTGGTAGACGACGAAATTTTTCGAGGATAGGTTGAAAATAAATTGTATCACAATCAAGAGAAATTGTTTTACAATCTAAACGATCTGGATTTAAAAATTGTAACATTATAAATAATGTTTCGACAGCTCCTCGTGTTTCAAAATCTATTACAACCGATTCAAATTTTCGATTTGGATATTCCATTTTGATTGTTTGAACAAGATTAAATTGTTTTTCTAAACTTTCTAATAATCCAAGATAAATAATATCATCTTCCTTCGTATCTAAATTATCTAATAACCAAAATAACATTGGTCGACCAACAATATTTATTAATGGTTTAGGAAAACGATAATTTTCTTTGCTAAAACGATGACCAATACCACCCATTGGAATTAGAATATTCATTTTCTTTGATTTAATGTACTTTAAATAAAGATTTCTTTTTATCTAAAATGAAAAATGAAAAAAAATTCTTTTAGTCATCATCAAATAAGAAAAAAATGAGCAGTGAAAATGTGTATTTACTCATGAATAAAATAATTAATAGTTTGAAGAATACACCAAAACTTTTCAAAAGATTTCTATTAATCAAATTCATACAGAGATAATGAAGAAAAGGAATCTAATTAATTTTGAGTAAATAACTTTAAGATTTCAGTTTCTTATTCGAATCATCTGAAAGGGAATCTAGCAAATCTCTCTGTTTTGTAGTCCTATTAAACACTTAAAACTTCATTTATATTTGAACTTGAATGATATAATCCGGACCTTCGTTCTCAAATAATATTTGTTGACAAAATACAGGCTGTTTGTAGATATCATCTCAAGGACGTCATAACGATACGGATATTTTTTTAGAATAAATCGTAGAATCTCACTTGATTTTAAAAAGGTATAGCTCGACAGTATAGCCAACATAAAAATGGATCTTTTACTTACCGTTTTCTGAGTCTTTGTTTTATCTAAATATAACTATGAAATCATAGAAAAAAAAGTGCTTTTCTAATTCATCGGTTATTGTATTGTTTAATATTTTATTAATCAGCAATTCTCATACTTGAATATGATTTTATTCTAGACAGCGAGAGAAGGATGCATTAGTTGATATACTACTGTGATAAAAAATAATATTTATTAAGTGCAGAATATGCATATCCATACTGGCTTTTTTTTCAATATGATAAAAAAAATGAAAAATTGGTGAAGCATGACGACGTAAGTGAAGAAAAGCAAGAAACGGTCGTGACTTTCTTCCTCGTTATATATTATAATACAAAAGCACGTGTATACAAAAAAAATCTCTTTTTGTAATCAATGTGCTCGTCTGAAGTAAACTCAACTCGTACTCGTTATAGAAAATGCTGCAAGAACTTATGAAATTTAAATTTTTGACATAGAAGATACGAACTTTTACAAAACAGATATAGATGAAACTACAAGGTCAAAAAAAATTTATTTATTTAAACAAAAATATTAGACAAGACTTATTTTTGTAACCAACGTGTCAAATTGTATATCATACCTTTTATCTGAATTATTTATATAAATCTATAACGTCGTGAATATCCGAAGTGATAATAAAGAATCTTATATAAAAAACTTTTTTAACTTTTTTCATTCGAAACATTTTTGTATTACAAGATAGTGTTCAATAGAAATAAGAAATTCAATCGATTCCTTTTTTTTAATTTCTATTCACTTTACTCAAAGCGTAAACGTTGATCTTTTTTTTCAAATAACATAGAGAACAGATGTAGATAAAGAGAAGACAGTCGTTTTATTGAAAATGAAATATTTGTCTGAGTTTATATGACATGGTTAAAAAATTGTGCAGATATTATTTAGAAAACGAATAATTCTTCTATTGATAGACGTTCTCAGAGCGTCTATAATAATAATTTCTAAAATAACCGAAAATTTTCATCGATAAATGTAAAATTTCTCTGATTGTCAATTGTCCATTACTTTTCAATAATCGTGTGGTGATACTATTTAAAGATGTATGTCGATAAGTGAAATCGATAATGTTAATCATTGTGGGAATTGCAAATTCGTGAAATCCATCAGTTGCTTGAAATACAGTAGTCAAATCAATAAAATCTTTGAAAAATCTTTGTGGAATGTAATAAATATCAGACCAACTGAAATTTTCAGTAGAAAACTGTTCGAGTAAAAATCTCTTTATGAACAAATCTTACTCTCTGAATCTAAACAAGGTGTGAGTGTTTACATAAGATATGACAGTCACACGCTCTTGCATACTATCAGGATCTTAGAAATACAGTTCTTGTATAATTTTAAAAAAAATTAGTTACATTCTGTTACTAAAAAAATGAAAATTAAGATACTTCATGTTCTTTTTTTTATTTTAATAACCGCCTTGAAGATGATCCGCTGACTTCACGATGACTTCGGTTGGTGTATCCGTGATGCCGCGAGCCTTAGCTTCTTCCATTATAGCAACAGTGGCGGTAGCTCCCACGCGTGTTACGCCTAACGATCTTATAACAAGTAGATCATCCAGCGTTCGAACACCACCAGCAGCCTTGATTTGTACACCTGATGCACAGTGTTCTCGCATCAACTTAAGATGCGGGATGGTGGCACCCTTGTAGGAGTATAGACCATCAGCATTCTTAACAAAACCATATCCAGTTGATGTTTTGACAAAAGCGACCGAGAGTAGTGAACAGATATGGCAGAGCTTGATAATGTGCTCGTCTTGAAGATAATCGTTCTCGAAAATAACTTTCAAGATAGCGTTATGTTTTATGACAGCTTCGTTGATGAGCTGGATCTCCTTGCTAACATAGTCCCAGTCCCCTCCAAGGGCCTTGCCAATGTTGATAACCATATCGATTTCTTGACCACCAGCCTTGGCAGCAGCCTCTGCTTTGATTACCTTGATTTCGGTTGTGCTATTGCCATGGGGAAAACCGATAACAGGACAAATGAGAACGTCAGATCCGGCTAGAATCTTCTTAGCTACCGGGATCGAATATGGTTTGATGCAGGCCGTGGCTACGTTGTATTTTTTGGCGATTTCCAATCCAGCGAGAATGTCACTATCAGTCATCGTTGGATGAAGTAGAGAGTGGTCAATCATCTTGCCTAACTGCGTGTATGTAACTGAAATGGTATTTGTGTTGGATGCCATTTTTCGTGACTATTGGACGACTTATGTTTCGAAGAAAGAAGAAGTATGTAGTTGAATGATATCTACAATAGATGAATGTATTGATTAAGAGATTATTCCTGTCATAGTAGAGAAAACACTCTATTTTTACTTTTCGGAAAACGCCATAGAAAGCCCTTCGATTCTGATGCGATGGTCATGTGATTGGTAGAAATTTTTTTCTCAGAAAATTCAATTCGTCTCATTAAACCCCAAAATCGTGATGACAAAGACAATTACCGACTCGCAATCAAATTCGTTCGGAGCTGATTTCTCTTCTATTAATAAGGAACTTAGAGAGTTTTTCTATACTCAGCTAACACTAGTTTTGTTTGTGCATAAACTAAAATAGAATCGTCACATACTTCCATAAAACTGTAGTGTGACACGTATCTCCCATGCGCTTTCTGCACTAGAGTTGGCGTGAGATGTGAACTGGTCGTTGTCTGTCGATATAAACTATACTGTCCATGATAAAGTGGCTAAACTAAGAGACAAGCTGGTCATTAGATCGATGTTCAGAATAGTTCTTCTGTATCACATAATAAAGTGCCAGATCATGCACTGTCTAAAGTTACTTTTTCATACCCAGAGACGTAAACTCTTGTGTCTCAAGTAGATCTGAACTCAAACTTCAGTGTCATGATAAAGTTAACTATGAAGTTCAAGACTGTTACAGTCATATCTTCATATACCTTCACACATTCTTCAAGAGAAGTTGTCTGTAAAAACAGCTAATAATGAATTCAAAGTCATCGTAGGTAAGGATATGCATGGAGAAGATGGCGTGTCAGATGAAGAAGTAGTTTGTAATATGGGTTCAACGAACGATAGTGGAAGACACTCTGTGATAATACTATATGGTAATGAATATTCCGGATTGCTATTAAATCGTAAATTGGATCGTGTTGGTAGAGAAGCCATGATGTAACAAAAAGTTATAAGAAAAAAGAAAAAAATTTGGTTCTTCTTTTTCGATTGTATACGTGAAGAAAACCGGTCATGGCACCAAATATGATAGAACCCTCTCTTCACGTTGTATCTTATTCGAATGAAGAATAAAAACAGAAAAGAGAGAGAAAAACAAACAAAGAATGTGAATAACGAAAAACCAGATACGATGTGAAAGAATGTGTGAAGACATATGAAGACATGACTGTAACAAAGATTCTCTTCTAAAGATAATTCTTTCGATTCCTTTGGTTGATTTAGTATAGTGTAGGCCTTTACCTTTACTATTCTGAATCAGTGAGTACATCTTCAATATTAGTTTTTCAGGAATCAATCTCAATCTCCAAAACTTCCAGAATGGATCTAATACTTCATCAAATGATTGTACTCTTCTCACCTTAATTGCTATTTTGTTGCAATATACTTGCTGTTATTGAATAGCATTGATGGTGTGAGTGTGTATGTAATAGAAACAGTGTTGAAATAATGATTTTATGAAGATACGTAAAACATTATGTGTTCAGTCTTTATTTTTTTTTGAACATCGCGTAACGAAACATGTGTCGGTATGTGTTCTGAATAAAAAAAAGCGTTTATTATGGACAAATCTGAAGGAAAGAAAAAAAAATGGTTGTCTTTCGTCGTATATAAACTCCAAATTTCATGTTCAAACCTCATACTACGTTATTTCTTAAAATTAAGGTTATTTTCTAATTGCAGATTTAGCTTAATAATTAATTTGTTATATTCAATTTTTTTCAATAAATTTCTTCAATTTTGTTTCAAAAACACATCTGGTCGACAAAGAACTGAACTACACGAACATAATACCTTTTTTGGTTTATTCTTTCATATAAAGATTTTATTTTTCATTCTTTTATGTTCATTAGACTTTATATATATTTTTTCAATATTTTACATTTCAAACAAAATTGTATACATTTATAAAAAAAAGAAGAAATACCTGAATTTCATTAATAAATAAATTAATCGTCAAACTAAATATACAAGTAGAAAATCAACTCGATTTTAAAAAAATTATTTATTACGAGCTTTAAACATGAAACTCTGAGTTTATATACGACGAAAGACAACCATTTTTGTTTTTCTTTCCTTTACATTTGTCCATAGTATACTCTTCTTTATCCAGAACACACGACCAGCACATGTGTCGTTACGCGATGCACAAAAAAAAATTAAAGGCTGTGTGAACACATAATGTTTTACGTATCTTCATGATGTCATTATATCAACACATGTGTCGCATAGACATGGGATGGGCCGTGTTGAAGTAGTAATCGAATTCAATAAGGAATAGAAATAGGTGTGAATCAAATAAATAAAGGCAAAGCATTAACACGCTATTATTTCAGTAACAACTGCCATATCAATATCATATCTTTCATCCTTAATCTTCTTATAACGGACAAGCAACGATGCTCGTGAAATTTGTTTGAGATATGTGAATAGGTTATATTATATCAAAGATGAAGATTCCGTATATAATTGGATAGCAATCGATGATCACCAGCAGTGTAGGTGGGTGCGGGTGTAGATGCATATTCTTCACTCACCCGCACTCACAGCCAGACCCACATTTTCTAACATTCTGTCTTTCATTATGATCTCCCTGTTTTTAATGTTACGACCTCCCGGTCATTCTCGTCCCAAACTTCCGTTGAATTTCAAGGTTTTATCTCGACAAATCAACTGTCGCTGCTCGCTACGATCTTCTGAACAACTGGCGTTACAAACACTGTGTTTTTTTAGTTTTTGTCATTCCAAACACCCTGTCTTTTTTCGTATGTTTGGAGGTCGTATCTAACATCCATTAGTCGTGATTTAATGAAAAGGTGATACAAAATGTCTCATTCACAATTATTTTGCCACCTGACAAAAATTTTCAGTCACTCTTGTTGATATGTTATTATAGTAGAAAAAGCAGAAGATGATTTTTCTGGCATAAAGAATATGTGACTCCGCGTGTAATACTATCACGTAGATGATAGTATGCTTGTCCTGTGTGTTTTTTTTAATAAGCTGATATCGCGTTTAGCTTATGCTGGAGTCAATTTGAATAAAGTAGAAAAAAATGAAGCAGAAGCATGACATAGATAGACAAATATTAGTTGTGCGTTGAATGCAACAGGAAACTAGCAACTAGCAATAGTATCGTTATATATAATCTGCAGTGATAGTCTCATATGTAATGCTAGCTTTGTATGCTCCTGACAGCTTGACTTATTTTGATTGCCGACAATAAATTGTATTGCTGCAGCACAGTTGTCGCATAAATAGGTTTGTATTATACGCATCTGTGCTCTTAACAAATTTTTCTGTTCGTCTTCGAATAAAATGTCTGACACTATTAATGTCGAAGACTCAGACAAAAACGCCACAAAGCGTTATTCAGATAAATTTGGAAAAACTATGATGAACATCTTTTTATCAGTACTCGTACCTCTCTTGATTGGCGTGGCTACTGTTCTCATCGCTGTTATTCAATTGCAAATTGCCAACAAACAACGTGCTCATGATCTTCAGATCAGCAATGAACGACGTGAACAAGACTTGCGTGCTGCTGCTACTTTACAACAAGATCTGGTTCTTGCTGCGTACATCGAACAGATGTCTGATCTGATGTTGAGATCGGGTTTTACCATCAACGATACAACAGTAGCCAATATTTGTCGCGCTAAAACGCTGACAGCTATTCGTCAACTTGATCCAAAGCGTAAGACTTATTTGATCAGATTTTTATATGAAGCACGTATGATTCGCCATAACCAGCCGCATATTGATCTATCAGACGCCGTATTAGACAATATTGATCTGTCGGCTAAGTATACTCCTATGGAATGGGCAGCATTCGAGGCAAGTCGTACCACTGAAGCCTATCGGACTTCTCTCTCCGAAGTCTTCTTCAAACGAGTATCCCTCAATCATGCCACGTTTACAAATTTGTACATTAACCATAGTAGTTTTCAGGAAGCTTCTCTCATAGGAGCCAACTTCACTGGTTCCTTATTTTCATCCGTGAGTTTTGTTCGTGCCATACTACAAAATTCCAGTTTTCGTGACGCAAAAAACACTATTGCAATCGATTTCAAGTCTGCTGATCTGTTTGGCTCGGATATATCCGATAAATTATTGCTTGATGCAATTTCAATTGAAGATGCTATTCTCCCGAATGGGACACGCGGTGTTCAACCAAATTTGGTAGCATATGGAGACGCCGAGTCTCCGGATTGTGAAACTAACGCATCGATACCTTCAGCATGGCATGTAGAACAAATATCTAGCAATGTCACTTTGAGTGTAGCGAGTTATCTTGCTGCTCCAAGCGTGACGTATCCCGCAAATGTGCAGATACATAGTGGCCGATGTTTCTATGTGGTACGTGGGCGAGAAGGACAAGTGATGATGCGTCAAACCATACGCGCTCCAACGCGCTATATTGCCTATTCTAAAAATATTAGTCTTACGTTTCTATTAGTTTGTGCGCCGGTTGCAACTGTTGGACGAGGGCAAGCTTCTATTCAACTTTACATAGAACAAATTGATAACAAGGGAATGTCGCTGGCCAACTATACAAGAAGTAAGATGTATAGAAGTCAAATTCTTTTGATAGCTTTTCTCTCTATGTACTTTGGATTTTTCTAAATGCTCTTTCTATGTGGACTCTCGATGCGTAACATAAGCAGTATTGAAACCGTTTACCGCTTTGTATGATGGAATAAAGCGTTCACTAGAGAATTCTATCAAAACGAATTATTCTAGTAAAAACATTGTTCAAACTTTATCAAACTCACTTAGACATTGACAAGCTAGAACTTATGCAACCACAGGATTGCTAGAAACATAACTAGGAGGCCACCAAACTAGAATAATCCGAAGAAGATATGGGCAGCTAGACCTTTGGAGCTGAGTTCGGGACATTTTATTGCATTATTGATCAGTTTTTCGGTTATGAGTAAAAACTAAATAACGGAGTTTCGACCTAAAAATTTTCCTACAGACAGATCTAATGATCATTAAAATACCTTGAAAGCTTCAGCCGAAAAAAAATGCTCCTTTGTCGAGATACTGAATTATTAAACAAGAATCGCTTATCGCGGACAACACGCAAAATACCAGTTCACTTGAAAATTTAATATCTAGATAAAGGAATATTTTTTTCAGCTGAGACTTTCAGGATATTCTAATGATCATTAGATCTGACTATGGGGAAATTTGTAGTTCAAAATTCTATTATTTGATGTTTTACTCACAATCCAGTAAATGGCCAATAATGCAGTAAAATATCCAGAACTCAGCTCCAAAGGCCTAGCTGCCCAAATCCTGTTTGAACTTTTCTACTATTGTGGCCTTCTATCTATGATGAAAATATTATCTCAGAAGTGATTTGACAGTTGGGGACCTACCCTTGTGAGATCTAGCATACACAAGCATCCTAGTTACGCTACTAAGGGTGACCCTCTAAAAGTTGAATTTTTTTTGATTTTTCTCGATGGAACTTACCAAAGAATTTTACCCATTGACTGTTTTTGAGTAGTCATCACAGTGGGCTCTCCTCCGTCCTCTGAAAGTTTGGTACTTCATACCACACTTATGGCAAGATGTGCATTTTCTTTGAACAGATGTTTGAGTGCAGTAAGAATTGCCGATTCATTTTGTTACTTGCCTTTCTCGTATTAGAATATACCGCTCTAACTTCATCGGTGCGAGTTGTTCAATGGCACCCACAGGTTGATCGATTTATTATCACTTTGGTCTTCAATCGATTTTCTGCTCCATTGAATGCAAACAATACAGACAGTGATATTTTTATTTATTGCGACAATATTTATTTTACAGCGGTGCCTGATCGTCGAGAAGAATGAACGAACGATGTTTAAAACTATCAATTGTTTGAATATGACAGTTTGAACTCTTTAAATTATTTTACTTGTATTGTAAAATGAAATATTTCATGAAAAAAAATATTCAAGCGTTTGCAGTATCAATATTTGATCCACTATCTAAACAAAAGACTTTGAAAGAGCAAAGGAACATGAAAAATAGGTGGAAGACACAAATGGAAGTTTGATTGAAGGATTGAGGGAGGGTGTGGGTTTGGGTTTGAGTTTGGGTGTAGAAGTTTGTATAACATAAGACACCTACACTCACACCCACCCTCTAACAATAACAACAACAATGAATGTACATGTTGATGATCACTATGTCAAAACGTGACCGAAGTTACATGTGTTGGTACCGTGTCATATAAACACGGGTAGTCACTTACCAATAAACAGAAGGACAGTAATGAATATTAAAAAGAAAATAAATTTGCTGTTATCAAAAAAATGTTCTATGAAGATTTAGTGAGTGTCAGAATGCATTGCCGGGATAACCCACAACGATGAACGAGAATATTTTATATTTACTATAGTATTTTAATATATAGTTCCTCATAAAATGTATCTTGATGGTGTGGGTGTAAGTATAAAGACTCTTTTATTTTTATTAACAATATTCACACTCACACCCTTAACATGTTAGAAACATCATTTACGCCGAAGATAAATAGTACACATGTTTTCTACTATTTTTTTATAAGTTTTATTAAGACAAAATCTACCATCACCATTTATTAATATTCATGTTCATCGAAAATAAGAAAAGTAAGAATTAAACTTTGGATGCATTGACAGGTTTAGTGCTCGTTGTCAAAGGTGCATAAACGAAATCGTATCGAAAAAATATCACTGACGGTCGTTTTGGTGGAGGTATGAACTGTTTTAGCTTCAGAATAAATTTGAAGAAGACATCCAGCGGTATTGGTGAACCTTCTAGACTTTTATTAGTCACAGTGAACATTGCACTGGGTGTTGCTTGGCAGGCTTGATGAAATTCATGTAGTAGTGGTCCATCCATTGATTTACATATTGGTAGTAGTAGATCGAGTTCATTGTCAGTAATAAATTCATTGACATGTACGTCGGTCCACGTGGTTACTGGACCAACGCTCAAATATTGTCGTGTTTGTATAGGTAGTGGTTCAGCTTCTTCCGGAGCCGGTTCAGCTTCAGGAGAATCAGTGGCTAATTTTGCCTCTTCGTTTTCAGCATTCTCATCCGCTTCTTGGCGTTTGAGTTCAGCAATCAAGAGTTCATAGGCAGTATCAAATTCTTCATCGTCCTTATCCGCAAAATCGACATAGAGTTTTGATCCTGCCATGAAGCCTAACCAACCATCGGGTTTATAATCTTTTTCGACCATCAACGGGATCATTTTACTTTTTCGATTGAATGCATACTCAGCTTCCGCTTGACAGTTGGTACTCGACTTGTAATCGCTCGACATACAGATTAGTACGCATTTAGAATGTTCGATAGCTTCCGCCATACACTCAACGATCGAACCACGCATTTCATCTCTATCTAACCAAACGCTGTAACCATCTTTTTCTAAACGATCATTAAGTTTATGACACAATTCTTTTTGTGCCCAACAATACGAAATCATCATGTCGTACTGTTCAGGTTTTTCTTTATCATCTGTCGATTCTTTTGTTTCTTTATCATCTGTTGATTCTTTTGTTTCTTTCGTTGATTGTTCGTTCGATTTCTTTTCGTCTGCTTCTTTCTTAAACTTCTCTTCATCCTCCAACTTCCACATAATTCCATGAGCTGCTTTTGTCACATCCTTGTTGTCGGACTGTTTCATTTTTTCCACATGATCGACAAACTCTTGATCTTCCTTAAATGCTTTCCTTGCATCTGAATTGAATGCAAGTGCATAGGCAGCTTCTAGTGGCGCCGGATCATCACTTGTTTCTTTGGTGTACTGCATAATGGATGGTAGAACATTTTGTTCGACAAATTGCTGTTTTATTTCTTCACTCTGTACTAAACCTAATTAGAAAAAACATTGAAACATGATGTAAGATAAATATACTAATAGTAATTCAATGACCTTTTAAACCTTGCATGAGATCATCTGCCGTCCGATCTTTATTATCTTCCAGTGCTTCGTTGAAATTTTTCGCAAATAATTCTGTGATTTTCGCTGAATCATTTGTTTTTAGAAATTCTTTTTCTGGTACAAGAAAAGAAAGTAATTCTAAGGCATGTAATTGTATTTTTTCATTTTGTTTATCGGCGGAGAGCTGTTTCAGGATCTCTAGTAACTTGCTATTATCAGCTGTTTCCTTCTTCATTTCACCCAAAAGTTTGTGCTCGGAACGAACAATTTCAATTAAAACGTTAAGTGTAGCATAAACAAGTGTGATATGTTCTTCTTTGTAATTGGAATTAGAAAGCGGTTGTTTGACAAGAATTGTTATGAGTGCTTCTTGAATAAGACGTTTCTCTTCTAATGGCAAGGAATTTGAATCAGACAGGATAGCTCGAATTGGATAGAGTAGACATAATACAACTGTATCAGTCCATTTTTCAATGTTGGGAAGAAAATGAGTAAACAATTCAGCATAGTGAGGTAACATATACTCGAGAAATTTTCGTAATTGAGATTTGTTCTGATCACATGTGAGAATATAATCTGGACAGGTTACTAATAGAAATTGTTGAGTCAAGCTCAAAGTGGACGCATTGGCTTTACCGATATTATATAATGTTTCGTTATAGAGACGATTGAAGATGCATCGACTAATAACATCAAGCAACTGATCACAGTTACTATTGGTAAAAGCTTGAATGAGTCTATCAAATGATCCTATATTGGGATCTTCTGTTCCTTTAATATCTAAATAATAACCATGAGACGCAATATCATCGCTACATTGTTTCACTAGATCGATTAATTTCTCCTGTTGATTGAACCATTTTATAAGTTCACTATTGTTCTTTGAGACTTCAAGCAAATATTCACTGCATTCCTGAAATGTATCTTTTTGAGTTTTATCTAATGAATGATTGGTGTGCCAATATTCTAGAACTTCGCACAATTTTCTTGGTAATTCCTCGTTAAGAAATGTGTCCTTGTCTATTTGTTTATCGGTAAGAGTAGATAGTGATGATGAAGTTAATTGATTATTACGTTTCTTCCACACATCCAGTGTTGTTTTGGCCTGTTTTTGGACGTCATTCCACACAGATTTCTGTTTGTCGCCATCCATATTGATATATTTCAATTTCAAGTATTTAATGACGAGGAGAACGAAATAGTAGTAAGACCCTATTTAATGAGATATTTTTCTTACCTATTAAGTCGTCAACAACAAAACAGTCACACTTCATCGAAGGCACATGAAAGTAATACTAAAATACAAAATATTTACATCATTAATACAGAATGATACAAAGTATGGTTGAAAACAAAATACATGTACTAAATGTGCGTGTAATATTTATCATCATTATTTCTTCAAAAAATAAAATAAATCTACACAAAAAAAACATACGAAAACAGGACATGTTTTTATATACGTACAAGAATGAAGAGGAAGGGAAACAATGAAACTATAATTAAATATAATATTAAATGCAATGAAAACGAAAATGAAATAAATGTATAATACTATTTCTATATATATATCTGTCACAGGCAAAATTCATTTTTTATTAAATTTAATACTTTTATTTACTAAACGATATTCAAACAATTCAATAGATAGAATTTGTTTATAAACAGGCACAACGATACAAATATTTTTCTGATAAATTTTATTATTCGTAAACTCTACGACTTCCTATATTTGACTAAAATTTCATGATTAATTTTATTTCATATTTGTACAATTATGGTAAGTAGAAACTTTACAGTCATTATTATCACTCGATATTCTATTTTACTAAAACTGCTACTTGCACAAAATAAATTTTTAAAAACTTAACTTACATTTAAATGATTTTTCATTACGTTTCTATTAAATAAATAAATTAAGGTTATAATCATATCTCTATGAATTTTCGAGTGTGAGTGTAGATGCAGTTGTAGGTGACAGAAGAAAACACAAGATGATTCGAATTTGATGTTTTCTTTTATTCTTCTATTCTTAATCGGACTTTCGATTTAAGAATGATATACAGAAGATAATAGAATTCCTAATCTACCCTATACGCTCCTTAGAATAGGACGAAACGTGTCGTAAAATAGATTGATATCATCTGATTCAAACTTATCCATGCATAAATCTGCAAAACTAAAGATAATGATCATAAAAGAAAAGAAAATTTCTATAAAAAGAATTTAATAATGAAAATTAAATGTTTATATTCTACTGACTGTTATATTTGTATTAGTTTAGTTAAAATTTAGTTGATTTTTTATGGATGCAACTAAATGAGTCGAATGCATTTATATTTGTGAGATAACTTTCAAGTAATTTGTATAAAACAAATCTTTTTTTTATCATAAATAAAAATAGAACATCATTTTACATACGATTTGACTAAATTTATAAAGAAGTTCTTTTAGAAAAACAACTAGAAAGTTCTTTGAAACAACTCTCTTGAAAAGAAGTTCACGTTGTTAAAATCTCAATAATACGAACTATTCGATAGATTTTAAAAATTCTACATATTTGTTTTTCCTATTCGAGTTATTGTCAATGATTTATTGTCGTTTGTTCAGATTTTTTAATGTATTTTTTTAAATATATTTATCTTTCATTAATCCGACAATCTGTTTTTTTTCTTATTATTGTCGTTGTTTATATTTACTAATTCTATCTTCTATCTTGGATATATTATCTATGTTATGTATAGTCACCATGAATCAAATACTTAGTTGAGAGAGAAAAATGTGTAGAAAGATAAAATTTTGTCACGTTGAAAAAGAAACACATGTATCATTTAACGCAAAAAGAAAATCGTACGACATAGATAAGAATACTACGCATCAATGAAGCTTGATTTATTTGATTGTGGTGAGTAGT